CAGGCAGAAATTCAAGAATTTGGTGCAATATTGTTAATCAATTTTTTTATATTTTCTGTCTTTTCAGGTTAAATGAAACAAGGCAAACTTCCTGTACAGTAATACTTTTTCACATATTTTTTTCTTGTAATACATAGTATCATGTAAGTTACCACAGTTGCCCCCTTTTCCCATTAGAATTACAGGAGCTTTATGTCTTTTTAAAAATAAATGTTAAAATGCTGATACTGATGCTTTTCTTTTTTCCTCTTCACCATTACTTAGATATTGTTTGCATCATCCAGTTTGAATGTGTTTTCTACAATCTTCATAACTGCGTTATATAATATTCCGTTTTTTTTAATTGTTTTATTGTATAATGTAATACAAGGTTATGTTCATCAACTCCTCAGCAAGTAAATCTGTAGATTGAACAATTGGTTAGTTTTCCAGTCATTAATGGACTTGAAAACTAAAGCCTTCAGCAGAGTCATGAGGCCACAGGAAATCTATGTGAAAACCTATGTAAACAGTTCTGAGATATTTAAATGTACACACTGTTTCTGTTACTGGCATAACCACACCTCACACCTGGTATCTGTGATGCACCGTTGCTCCTTGCATTGTTTCACTTCTTTATTTTGGTACTTTTTTGGGAGCTTGGTGTTTCTCAATGCTTCTGCTTGCTGCTAGCCGTGATCACTCTGCCCTGTCAAGCCTCAACATCTGTGCAACAGACTTCCAGCTCTATTTCCACCTGACTTTCAGACACCAGCCACTGTAAAAGTACAACTCTGCCATCTAGCCAAAATACAATGATATTACAGTTTGCATTGAGGCTATTCAGTTAATTACTTGACCAAAATCTGAAGGTATGTATCACTGATGAGAACATGTTCATTTCATATTCAAAACAATTTCATCTAACTTATGGAAGAAGGCACGTAAAGACATTAATCTTTGCTCTATCTCAGAAAGTCGGGTTGTCTCTCCAAACATCACACTTTACCCTGTCTGGGAAGGTGAATTTGGGGTCTCCCCAGTCAGACTCATCTGCACCCTAAGTGGCTTCTTCCCTGACCAATTGCAAGTGGAGTGGCATAAGGACAACCATCTCTTACATATTACTCCAACTCAAACGAAGCTGCAGAGTATGCAAGGAGAAGAGAAAACCTTCAGTCTAATCAGCGATATTGAGGCCGTGAATTGGAAAAGCAACTCAACATTTACATGCAAGGCTCAACACAACAACGACAAGAAATTTACAAAAACAGTAAATTTTGTTCAAAGTAAGTATGCTTTCTCCTAAGGCAATATTATATGAGTAATGTTTAAAAAAATGCATGTTGCTATTAAGTTTTATGATGTTTCTTGCAGTTTGTTCAAGTGCTGCTCCTTCCATTGATGTGGAGATTCCCAGCTTCAGGACTGTAATGACAGAATCTGCAGTGACAGCAAAATGTTCTGTCAACAATCGTTTTGGCGCCAAGGTCACCTGGCTGATGGATGGAAAAGCTGAATCAAAATACATAGTAACATCGAATGCAAACCAAACTCATACCATCAGTGAAGTGGCGGTTCCCCCAAGTCAGTGGAAACAACTCAAATCTATAACATGTAAAGCTGACCATCAGTGTTTCTCCACTCAGAGGACTGTGAATGTTGCAGGTATAAGAATATACAACATTCAAATTGGACACATTTTGAATGTAGAGGGATGTAAAGTAGTCATTCTGCTTTCTGTATCATGCAGGTCCTGCAGTTACAAATGCATCAGTGGAGATCAAGAGATCTTTCCCAGATTTGCTGAAGGGACAAAGTGCTGTGCTCGAGTGCGACATCACAAAACTCTCCTCTAGTGACCTCTACGTCACCTTTCAAGCCAACGATAGCGACATCTCTGAAAAACAGTATGTTGTTCTTCCTGAAGCCCCAGACCCCCAGTCAATCACCAGACGCTTCTCCATCCCTTCAAGTTATTGGAAGAAAGACACAACTTTCTCCTGCAAAGTCCATCAAGGCTTCTCCCCCAGCGTCAAGTCAAAGTCGACTGGCAACATTTTTGGTGAGAGGAATTCCAATTCTTTCCAATCATTACAGTCAATTTAATGGTTCACACTTGATTCATCTGCAGTAGATTGACTCATTGATGAATCCTCTCTCATTTAGTGGACCCTTCTGTGGAACTTCTACTGTTCCCCAACGAATTGTCAGGACCACAGAGACTCTTATGCTCTGGACGGGGCTTCAACCCTAAAATTCAATGGTTGTCTGTGTCCAACAAACTACCTTCAAACAACGACGTCACCATGGGAGCAGATGGACGTGTGGTAGTAACCAGTCAACTTCAGATTCCCCAAACTGAGTGGGAAACAGGGAAAGTCTATAGTTGTGAGGTGTCTGACACGTCCCTGAGTAAAACTGTCTCCAAGAATATCAGCCTCTGCTCAGGTAAAATGGGATACCTAAAATATCCATGATCAGATTAATGCAAGTATAGAATAAATACATTGATACTGTTTCTGAATCATGCCTTTAAATTGTGAGACATTTCTTCCTCATCATAACAACTTAATCAGTGTTGACTTTTCTCTCCCTTTAATATCATGTTCTGTTTTCAGTAACTCCAGCATCCTCTCAGATAGTTGGCGTATATGTTCAGGGGCCGCCACTCGAGGAATTCAAGAAAAAGGAACAGGTGACTATCACCTGTCTTCTTGTCGGCTCTCGTCTTAATGAATTCTCCATCACCTGGAAAGTAGCTGGGAAAAAATCTTCTCTGAATTTCAAAAAAGAGCCACCAGTGAGTCACAGCAATGGGACAGAGAGTTTGATGAGCGTCTTCAGTCCGTCCGCAGAGGACTGGCATGCGCATAAACAAGTGTCCTGTGAAGCAAAGCACCTATGCTCCAGCCAGGGCTACGAGGGCCATACAAGCAAAAGCAGAGGTAGTGTTTCTTTTTGATTCTTTGGAGGTGTTGATAGTCATTTCTGGATTTTAGAGTTTAACATAGTTTCAGAAGGCATTAGAAACTCATAAGTTGAAAAATCAAACTCTCCGTGACGAAATGGTGAAACTGAAATTTTAAAGTTAAAAATAAAAAGTCTTGACTGCTCTATTCTTTTTCTTTCTCAAGTCCTTCATCAACCAACAGTGAAGATAATACAACCAACTGCCTCTGAGCTCTCTGCACCAGACGACCTCCCACTTATTTGCCTAGTCTCTGGGTTCTACCCACCCAATGTCATCGTGTACTGGGAAGGGAGTGGCCAGAGACTCCCATCAACTCGCTACACCAACAGTGATGTGTGGACATACACAGGGAACAGTTCTTATTCAATGAGCAGCAGACTGAACATATCCAAAACTGAAGACAAGAGCTCTACGTATTCTTGCTTTGTCAGACATGAGTCATCTGAAAAGCCTTTTAAAAACACAATAAAGAATGTGTTTGGTGAGTTGAGGATTGTCATTTAATAGAAATGATATTGTTCATCATACCCTAGAGTTTCTCTATCTTCTCTAGTCGCAGTAGGGCTGGGAAATAAAATAATAGGCCTATCACTAATTTGTAAGATATAATCTTTATCAATAGCAAAATTAAAAGATAATATATACACATATACAGTAGACCTTATGCATCCTGCGAGCATAAAGAGAGGGTACAACACATCATTGACAGATTCTATGACTACAAAAAAAAGGAATTTAAAATCACAACTTTCAATCAAGCAGCAAAAATCAGTCTTTAAACTTAATATTGAATAACGTGAAGATTATCTGGATAATTTTCAATATCTACTGATATATCGCCCAGCCCTAGGTATCACTAGATAGCACTTATATAAGCGCAAAGCTAAAGAAGAAAATAAGCATTTGCACTTTTTGATCTAAAAACTTAGAAGCATTCTGCTTCTGATTTCCATGCTTAAACTTCTGTGACTTGTGTGACTTGTAAATACTCATTACTCCATAATCTTCCTCAACAACAATGAATGAAATGTACTTTTATGACTATTTTCTGCAGCTACAGTCACTCACACTAAACCTTCAGCCACCTTGCTCCAAGGCACAAACGAACTTGTGTGCCTGGTCTTCGGCTTCAGCCCCGCATCCATTAACATCACATGGTTCCTTGATGAATCCACGCAACTGTTGGACTACAACACTAGCAAGCCCCACAAAAGCCAGAATGGAAAGTTCAGTGTCCGAAGCCACCTTCGTCTGCCCAAAGGCAACTGGTTACCAGGAGCAACCGTAACCTGCAGGGTGTCACATGCAACCACCAACCTATCCCTGAATATATCGAACCTAGGTGCTGGCTTCTTTCAAATCCACTGCATTTACTGGGTTAACGACCTATTTCACACATTGAGTATTTCTTTAAAATCTCTTTGCAGTCCTTGGACCATGGTAATGAAGTCAAAGTAACTAACAAATCGTATTTTAATTCTTTCACAGACAACTTGGAGCACTGCACTTTCTTCGATGAACTTTTGAATGCTGATGTGAATCAAGATATAGGTGTGGAAAGCTGGTATATGGCTTTAACTTTTCTGCTTCTTTTCCTGATCTCTGTCATCTTTGGTGTCTCAGCTACCATGATTAAAGTAAGTATTTTTCATATTTTAAATGCAGTATTAATATCTTTGGCCACTTTTTGTAATTTTAATAATTTCCTGTTTTGTTTTTTTATAGACTAAATGATGGTGATCGCGGGACAGATCCCTTGTAATGATCCAAATTTGGATAGTTAATGTCTTATGGCTTAGAAAGTTTTAACTTTTTTAATTCTTTTTCCCTTTTTCTTTATTTTATGTTTCTATTATTGTGGATTGCATTGTATTGCCTCTTCAAATGTCAACGTTGAGTTTTAAATCCCAATATAATGAACAAATATTCTTTGACTGGAGTCTTTCTTGTTCTTCAAAAACGATGTTGATAACAAAAACGATGTTGATAACAATAAAATAAATGATAACACATTCTGTCACAGGATATATTCTTCACAATTATACTCGATGAAATACAGTCAATTGTCTCGCAGTACCTACACCCCTGTATTACTCACTTTGTCCACATGAGTGAGACAAAGCTCCACATGCAGCAGTGGTGATTTAGCACCTCTATGACAAACAGGAGCCAGCAAGTAATTTGAAGATGCTGAGTTGTCTCTACTGAACTTGCTAAATGGTTTGATACAGATTCACTTAAAAATACAGAGACTGTTTGTGTGTCTTCTCCTTTCCATACATACACAAACAGTCACTGTAAGTGTGTGCACTCACTGTCTTTGAGTAGGAGTTGCATGTTTGGGTCTGCATTTGTGTACCTTGTGGGTTTTAAGGAATTCACATCTGGGAGGGATGACACTACGCACATCTAGGCTCACTATTGGTTGCCTCTGAGTGATCTGGCACTGTGGATGCCCCGATTGGCTAGGGACACCATGGCAGCCAGCCCATATCTGTGACGCTGTTGCTGGGATGGAGTCACAGCATGCGGCTGCCAGTCTCAGTGCCAAGGGGCCGGCTACAGGGAAGCAGGGAACCATGCCCAGCAGGCAGCCTGAGAGCGTCTCCCTGTCTAATACCCTATACCCTCCTATTCTCTCATACCAAGGCCCTCCTTCTTAGTCCTTGCTTGACCACTTTAATGGGTCCATATAAATAGGGACAAGCAACAAAAAACATCCTCACACTTTCAATAAGTATCCTCTCTTCCACAAATACTGTTGGGGCACCACTGAGCAAGGCACTCAACCACAACTATCCAGGGGCCAACAGTTGAAGGCTGTGGTTGTGCAGCAGCTCACAGCGTTAAATATGTTGAATTGAGTGTGAAGCAGTACAGTGATGAAAAGAGCTGAACGCTCGGTCAGCTTTAACTGGGAATTGAAGATCTATCTTGTCTTAAAAATATATGTAACAAATGTTATCTTAACACACACTCATCAAGAGAGAAGCGGTCATACATTTGCATCTTTGTAAAATGTCCTTTCAAACAATATGAGTTTAGAAGATACCAAAGAAAAATGTGGGAAGAGAGAAAGATCGGTAACAATCTATCTCCAATGAATGTGTGTTGCCATTCATATTCCAATTTCTGTGGTATCTTCATAACATATTTAGTGCTCCGTCTCTCTCTCTCTCTCTCTCTCACACTCACACACTTTACATGCACTTGCATATATGGTGGACGGTGGGGCCCTATTGTGACAACCAATAAAAAGTCTTTCAAAGAGTAATTTTTAGTCTGAAAAGTGTGAGTCTAGACTCTAGTGTACAGATATTTCTAAAATGATTAGCCTTTGAAAGGAAAAGGGAAAAAAGCATCCTAGCATAAACCACATCGCTCCATCTCGAGCTGAGTTCTCCTGATATATATTCAGTGTCCATCTTACTGTTAGAACTGCTGCCAATGAAGAAGACAGCGGGCCTGACAAGGAGGCCAAACCAAGAGCCCAACCACACCAACTACATCATGCCATGAGATGAGCCGAGATACACTGATGATACTTTGCTGTGTTAGCTTCCAGTTTTATATGTTAACACAGGTGTAGAGGTCCTACTTCTAACCAAGTATGCAAAAGGAAAACACGACTCACTAAATTTACAACCTCGTGGTTGTGTGCCTCCGACAGTCATGTTCTGTCCCTTTGAATAACATGTCACAGTGAACTTTACATTTTAGATGTAACATCACTTAATCATTATGGGCATTCATGGGAGATTTTGTGCTTACAAATATTATTGTTATTACTATTATCATTGTTATTTTTGTTACAACACTAGCTTAGCCAATGGTTAGCTAATTTTAAGTGCTGCATGGCATATGGTTATTACCTGAAAGTAAGAGGCCTATCTGTAGAAAATATTCAAAAATAAAACCTGTTTCATTTTGGTACAGCACAGTTTTAGGTCAAATTATTCACTGAGTGTTTAGCTTGAAGGCGTCTACCTATCCATCAGAATTTAACACATAAAGAATAAACAGCAGATTGAGACAGTGTGGCTGCCACATATCTTAGCCTGGCTGAAATCAACATCATGTGCAAAGTCAAAACATTCACTCGCAAAAGTTCAACCCAAACTGACTCACCGTGTTTCCTTGCTGTGATTCACCTGATGGATTCACCTGTGTGGACGGTCCTGGAATGGCGGTTTTGCCTCTTTTGATTTTTAATGGCAGTTGGCAAACCACTTCTTGGTGCATTAGCGCCACCCTCTGAACAGGAGTGTGGATGATCGGAACCATAAACCCTAGACCAGGGGTCACCAACCTTTTTGAAACTGAGAGCTACTTCCTGGGTACTGACTCAGTCATACAAAGGGCTACCACTTTGATACACTCTTCTGAAATAACAAATTTGGTCAGTTTGCCTTTAGTTATATATTATTATTAATGATAAATGATACTCATCTATGTGAAGACACTGATCACGTTAATGATTCCTCACAATAATTATCAACAATGACTTCACAAGGTGGGAGACAGATAATATCAATATTCAACACTTTATTTCTAATAATCTCAGCAATTGTTTAAGTTTTCAGAAAATGTCCCATTTTCACTAGCCACTGACAAACCCTTTTAACAAATCATAGTCAATAGTCAAGTTCAATATGATAACACAAATTTGACAGTTTAAAAAATGAATAATTAAATTTAATTAGAAACGCATATCAAATTTTAGGCAGCTCACTGGTGAGTTGTGTTATTTTTAGAACAGGGATGCGGGTGATTCATGTGGTCCTTGGGGGCTACCTGGTGCCTGCTGGCACCATGTTGATGACCCCTGCCCTAGACTGAAAAATATGACATAAACTGTGAACGCTAAAGCCTATTGATGTTGCATAGGTCATAAATCCCGCCTCCTCCATGTTAATGGATGGAACATGGACCAAACTAAAAGGTCAGAGTAAGTGTCAAATACTTTTTCCCAAAGATGTTTATGTGTTTTTAGGTAGGTCTTATCATACTGATGTATGTTCGAGAGTTCATTTTTCTGATAAGTTTGGTTTTTATTAGTTATTTGATCCTTTAAAGATTGAAATGTCATGATTGACAGCTGAGTCTGATATATCCTCATATCCTCATATTAGCTTCATATCCTGGACAGTGAGAGGAATTTGAAACGTCTGGGGTTGGACCACAGTAGACCAAATAAATAAACATACTTAAAATGTCCAAGTGTGAGCATCTAACGTGTCTACAGACTTTCTCTGTCTGGCCCCTATAATGTCAGATTTTCCAGCTATTTTCCAAACATGGGAACAAGAAGTGAACCCAAATTTAAAAAAAAAAAAAAAGTATAATTGTTTTGCTGACATTATTATTAAACTTGACTGATGTTTAATGGTGTGGTGATTAGGTTTTAAGATTAGATTTTAATTTATGTATTAGCAACAGACCTTCTGAGGAATTTGAATTCACTGCTGTGATAAGTGGATATAACATAACACAATTAAAACCAAATCACTGAGGATTCTGTAAACTGTCTTAGTTGTTTTATGACTTTTTGACTCATGACACACACACCATACTTGTTTAAATTCAAGTCAACTGATGTTATGTCCCTAACATCTGCTAACATTTACTGGTAGTTGGTAACTTAAATTTTGCAGAAGACCTTCAAACGTACAAGGGATATTCACCATCTAGTCCTATACTCTTAAATTAAATCAAATATTACTTACTTTTACACTTCTTATGTTTTATATCTGATTTTATTTATGTATTTTTCTGTTCTGTGTGTAACTCTTCTTAGCTTCTTTTAAAATGCAATAACTATTCATACACACTCCATACAGTTAAAGTCATTACACAGCTTTGAATAGTCTTAGCTTGACTTGTATGTATTTGTCCTTGTATACTTTTGTTGTTGTTGTTGTTTGTTGTACAATGTTCTGTTCTGCAGCTGTAGCACTTTGACCCAAGACTAATTTCCTCATGGGGACATTAGAGTTTATTTGATTTGATTTTACTTTTTTTTACAGTAAACTCTTTTTTCCTTGATTTTAATTTAACTGTAATGCTGAGCTGATGGTTTCTTCTTGTACAACACCTTTCATTGTACTGTTGACCCTGTGTTGAATGCATATGGCAAATGAAAACTTGAACTTCAAATGCTTCTTTTTGCTTTTACTATTTGTCATGTTTTATATGTTTTATATAGAGCACACTGAATTTCTTTGTTGTTGAAATGTGCTGTATGAATAAACTTGACTTGCCTGATAGTCTATTGCTGAATACAGTGGTGGAGCAGAGGTGACCTATATAGTCAGGCCTTAACATGCTTTATGGAGCATTCTAGACAATACAGATATAAGTAGGAGTTGATATACAGTTCAACTCTGGGTTCTGGTGGGTATGATGGTGTCATAGCACCTTGCATTTTGCACATGAAGATGTTTGCACTAAGCAAGGGCGCGGCTTTATTCCCGTTTTATATGCATGCTCCGAGTTCACCCAAGTTAAACAAGTGCACGCAGACACTCGGCCTACTTTCCCCGATTCTATCACTCATATGCGGAGAGAGAGAGAGCGGGAGACAGGGGGCAGAGAGGGGGGAGAGTGAGAGACGGTCCCCTCCTTGCAGACTGCTGGCTACTGTTGCTGTGCCAATGCGCAAACAGTCCACGCCGCGGGATAGGTCTCCACAAATTGAGGCTGCGCCCGAGACGATCATGCGATTGAATGACGAGCGCGTCATGCTTGTCTTCCCCCTCTCCTCCTACTGCTGCTCTGCGCGATCGGTGGCTCTGTGTTCCGCAGTCCCCGGGGATACTGTACCGCCCTCGATGGCTCTGCTATCATCGGCGGCTCGCTCGCACTGAATGGCTGCCCGGAGCCAGGAGCAGCGGCGAGAGAGAGCGCCGCGTCTCCCCCTGTGAAAACCCAGCGCCCCCGCATCAGCTACTTCCCAGCGAGGGGGTGAGTGTTTCGTCTGCCGCCGCGTGTGTGTGTGTGTGTGTGTGTGTGGTGGGGGGGGGGGGGGCGTTCTGCCCGGGGTCGTGTGAGGATCCACCGGCAGGGGGAGGGAAGGGGGGAGGCAGAGAGAGAGAGAGAGAGAGGGGGGGGGGTCTGTGCCGGTGTTAGCTCCGCTGGATCGAGGTTGATGATGAACGGTCCAGCGGAGACGGGACAATAAAAAGTTCGGGACGAGAGAGGAAGAAGGGCCCGGTTTGAACTTTAGCCGATTCCAACTCCCCCTAAACGGCGAAAGCAGCCCTGCTACAGCGGCGTGTGGTAGCTTGGAGTCAAGCGGTTAACTCCACGGGGCTGTTGTCACAAATATGTGAAAATCCGATGGCATCCGTTTTTTTTTTGTTGTTGGCACGACAGCCCCCCTGTGTGAGCGCCGGTTGTAAAAGAATCGTGCCTTGTTGTGCTCCCGCCTCCCCCACCACCACCACCCCCCCGCTCCGTGCCGCACTGGTTCCGTCTGGCTCGCCCTCGGCTGCCGCTGCGTGTCCTGGGATGACCTGTTGATGTCGGTGGAATGGAGAGTGACAGGGGCAGCGATTTCCCCCATCACCGAAACGTTTAGATCGGCAACATTTCTGGGGGCTCCACGGCCGGCGTCGCAGCGCACCTCCCTCGCCCGCTCCGGCAGTAAGTGTCTCTGTTTATCTCCGCGAGTGTCGGGACTTTTTTTTTTTTTTTTTTTTTTTGGAAACCACGGAAATCGCTCGACGTCGGGCTTCGAGTGTGCGTGAGGTGGATGGTGCGCCGGGGCGAACCCGAAATATTGAACAGTGGCGCTAGCTTAGCCGTTAGCCACCTCAGCGGGCCTGCTGCGGATGGGAGAGGAGGGGGGGGGGGGGCATTCAAAACATTTTAACAGCCGCAAGGGAGAGAGGCAGGGGGCGAACAATAAGTGCCCGGACCGCTGGAGCGAGTTTACATTAATGTACACGAATGTCATTTCACGTTAAACAGTGAGACACCGGCTGCCATCCTGTGTCGCCCCCCTCCCTTCCTCCTGGTGCCTCCCGGCTTCGGTGCCAGCGGACCAGCGGGACTCTCCCGGCGGGTAGCCTGGCACACGACGCGGCTAGCCCCCGGTGCGTTAAAACACCGCATCCTATCCAGTTTAATGCTTATCCAGGGGCGGGCTGTAGTGTGCGGGACAAGCCTCGGCAATGTGGAGTTAAGAAGTTTGTAAGTGTGCCGCTGCTTTGACTCTGAGACTGTCCCTCTTTCAGATTAGAAGAATAATCACACACCAGGCCTGTGAGTGTCTTCATAGCCATGCAGGCACCGGCACACGAGAACCAGGATATGCCCACAGAGAGAATGCATTGTGGGCCAGCTCCATCAGTGACTCCACTATTATTACCCACATAGCAAAGCCCATGCTGTTTTCTATTGAACTGGATAAACTGGAAAGTATTCTCACATTAAAAGGTCAGAAATGTGTCAATGGCTATCTCACAACATAACATGAGCCACTTGGATGCAGGCAAAAACATTCTAAAGGCTTCCTATCAAAAGTCTAAGGTCTTAAGTATGTTGTGAGTATGTTTGACCTACTTTCCTCTCCAGGCTGGTTGGTGTGTGATCTAAACCACAGGGTGAATTTCACTGGTTCACATTGCTCAACTCTATATATTTAATGGAATAAGGACCTGAGATGATCCCTCTCATCTCTGCAGGCCCCGCTGCCCCTCCTTAAAGACACACATGCATGCACACACACACAGTCACATTCTCTATCGCTGTCAGGGCAAACTGTGCAAACACACCCAGCTCTCAGCCCTGTGTTTGTGTGTCTTTCTGTGCACGCATGTGTGCTTACTGCGGCTCGCCAAACTGTAAACAAGCAGTATTGTCTAATGTCTGTGTGACTCAGTGTGCCTTTTGTGGGTTTGTTTGAGTTTGTGTGTGCGCATCTGTGTTTTAGTATGAGGGAGAGGGAGCTTGAGTGAGACAGAGACAAAGAGAGCATTTCTCTTTACCCTGGAGCTTGGCGAGGTCCCAAATGAAAGGCTTTGGATATGATGGGGCGGCTCACTCCAGCCCTTGTCAGTCAGTCACACCAAAGTTGGTTGTATGCCTCTTGCAGGGTGGGCTTCGATCGTTTTGTTCTCATAGTGTCAGAAATTCTCTTTGGTATGTATCTTGTATATGCATTTGTGCAGCGTGCAGTCATGCAACACTTTTAAGTGGTAAAGCATCAGTGTCAAAAGCAGCTTTGGCTGTGCATGCACACTTTAGTGCAGCACAGGCCTATATCCTGCATCTGTCTTCACCTGCGAGAACATGTATAAAACAAAAAAGAAATTATCTTGTGTTTGCATCTTACATGTGTTTCTATAAGTCCTTTTACAGATTAAGAAGCTATCTTCTAGTACCAAGCAGAACCACAGCCTGCACATAGTGTTCACATCCACAGCAGAGGGAACATTGGCTCACTTTAATTTAATATTGACCGTCTTAATATAGGAATCTTTTGAGAGGATGCATGGCAAGGGGGTTTGTTTGCCTTTGACTGTTTAGAGAGGTGAATGGAAACATGCTATGTGGTGTTTGTTTAGGCAGCACACACTTGCACATAGAATAACAGAACATGACCCAGTTATATGAGGACACAGGATTTATAGCTCATAGAAGATAGAAAATTTTAAAAAAGGCTTTTACTGCTTTTGGCAATAACAAATGCTGCAAGGCTGAAGTGGTGTATAGGATTAATGCAGTGTAGATTATCCATGGAAGCTTCAACAAAACTTTGTTTTAAATATCTTTGTCCCATGAGTCTGCCAGAAGTTCCCAGTTAGGCTGTGTGAAGACATATTTGTGGCCTATGTCAATTGCCTATATGCCAAGGGACATAATTCTTTTTCAGGACTACTTTTCTCTAGAAAAGGGTCATTTCATTATTAATGTTTTGGTCTTGCAGTAATGAAAAATAGACTTACATTAGGTTTGGTTTATAATTAGAAAGATTTTGTACTAGTGAAACACTGTCAGCCATTTTATTGTGTCTGTTAATGTAAGAGTCTGACATTCCTCACCCTCTTTTTTTGTTTTAGCTCTGTTCTCCTTTAGCTTTTTGTCTTTTAACAGAGCCTTGTTACGTTACACCTCTTGCTCTCATTTCCTGCTGACACACTCCTCACACCAAAGAAACAGTACAGGATGAAACAGGTTTCTGTGATTGTTGCGAATGCGTCTGCCCAGGTTACCCCACTTGGCTGCGACCATGACACTGCTCTTGATCTTGGTGTCACCAGTGTATAGAGGGTAATAGATGAGTCATTGTATGAGTTATTCTTTGTTACTCTCCAGTTACAGCCTGGTGCTTCCAAGTGAAGTCCAATCCATGTTTTTCCTCAGTGCATACCTCTGAAGGCCCAACAGTCCCCCTTGAAACCACATGTATTTTATTTCTGGGGGGATCTACACCAAATTGCACACAGTCATAAATATCACTCCCTAAAACATGCCTGCATTTTATCAGCAATATCCATGAATTGTTTTCTGAGAAATCCATGTAAATGTGGAAAAACACCCTATGTCACAATGTTAAAGAAAGTGGAAAAAAATCCTGCATCTGCCCCCTGATCTAGATCTACTCTAAAATGTAATGGATTGTTCTCTGACCCATATCGCATCCTTCTACCAAGTTCATGGTAATCCATCCACAGCGTCCAGTAGTGTTTGCATAATCCTTTAAACTAACAAGCAAATGCAGATGAAAAAATAAACTCCTTTGCGGAGGTAACACCCAGTGTGGTATAACTTATTCACTTACTATAACAGTGTCTTTTCTGTCTTCCTTCCCCGTGCTCCCAATCTCTTTTCTTGCTGTCCCTCTGTCTTCTCCAACTAGACCCTTTGGTGGTGTGCGCAGGCGCACCATGGCCCAGACCCTCCAGATGGCGATTCCAAACTTTGGCAACAATGTTTTAGAGTGTCTGAACGAGCAGCGACTGCAGGGCCTCTACTGCGATGTGTCTGTGGTGGTCAAGGGCCACGCTTTTAAGGTACCGAATGTGACATCAACGTATCTTTTTATTATACGTGTATTAAAAGTGAAAATTAAAGCTTGGGTGTAAACATGTACTCATGAGACTCCATGGTTGTGTTGCATGGAGGACTGAAGGCCAATATGTAGTTGCTGTTTGGACATTGTGAAAGCTGGGGGAGTCAGAAATTGTAACTTCTGTTTTTGTAACTTTGTACTTTGAGTTGATGATACATTTTTTCACAGTGTGCAGGTTTTCATCTGTACAAACTGATTTTGATGAGTTTGTCTTTATTTTGTTTGACAACATTCAAGCAATTTCAGACATGTTCCATGAAGGTAATAGGGTAAATATATTTTGTCAAACTCATCAAAAGTTTCTTGTTGTAAACTATCTAACTAACAAACAATCAACTTGGAATTTGTTAGCTAGTTTGGCATGACATTACCAATTAATGTGTGTTGGACACATTTTTCTGTAAAATGTAACCTTTTAAAAGCTGTGGAAAACTTAAGGTAGGTTTTCTTAATGTCTCTGTCCTGCAATCTCATTTTTAGGTCCCAAACTAAACAGTGTTACTTCAAACATGACTTTCTTTTCAAGAGAACTGAAATAATTTAAATCAGTATTGTATGATTCATATTTAACAGCAATAACTATAAATTAAATAAATTAAATAATGGCACAGAGCATCAATGGTTTTGAAAGTCTTTACAGAGTTGTTTGTTAATATATTAAAAACTAATTTAAACGCAACTATTAAACACTATTCAATATATTGTTATTCTGTTAAATAATAAAATATAAAAGTCATCACATGAACAAAGTTCTCTCTCTTCAGTTTTTGTTTTGATACCAAAACTCAGTTAGGTGACAAATGATATTCAGTGCTTAAAATTGGTATATTTCTTTTTAAGAATCTCCTGAGGTCATGTCCTCATAACAGCACACTCTTCACCTTTGTTTGGATCTCTGAGAGAGCCTTGTACTTTTCTGTGACATGTTGAGCAAAACATTTTTTCAGAAATTCTTTTTCATTTTAAACCATTAGGAGAGAGAAGTACATACCTCTTACATTTACTATTTTAAATCACCACTACTCACAGAAATACTAACAGGAGACTTTACGCTTTGTCTTTTGCCTCAGGCTCATCGGGCTGTTCTGGCTGCCAGCAGTTCTTATTTCCGGGACCTTTTCAGCAGCAATGGTGGAGGTGGCAGCAGCAATGACACCAGCCCCAATGTAGTGGAGCTTCCGCCGGCTGTGCAGCCCCAGAGCTTCCAGCAGATTTTGTCTTTCTGCTACACAGGCCGTCTCAGCATGACGGTGGGGGACCAGTTTCTCCTCATGTATACTGCCGGATTCCTGCAGATCCAACAGATCATGGAAAAAGGCACTGAATTCTTTCTCAAGGTAAAGCTAATGTGATTTTCAGTACAAACAGTAACTTTGAAATTCAAAAGGATTTTTAGTTTTAATGCTTTGAGTGCAATCATAGAGAGTATGACAACATCCTAGAAGCGAAACCAAATCATCTTGACCTGCCACCCGGTGGCTGGCTGCAGTATAGGTCATTAATCTCGCCTCCTCCATGATAATGGATGAGGGAGAAAAAAAATCCAAGTTCAAGTGAAAGATGGTTTCTATCATTGACATCATGCTGATGTACGTTCAAGTGTTCACCACATGCAGTGATCTCAAACCAGGTTAAACCAAACTGAAACTGTTCTACCACAATCACCATTGTTTTTAATTGAAGCAACAGCTCTTATGGCAGGACCATAAGAACCAGCACCTATTGACTGGTTCACCAATGTATTGTGTACTCTGTATGTATTTCTAGGTCTCCTCCCCCAGCTGTGACTCCCAGGGCCTTCATGCAGAGGAGGCCCCACCTTCTGAGCCCCAGAGTCCTGTAACACAAACCAGTAACAGTGCAGCCCGGCCTGCCTCCTGCCTGACGCCGCTCCCTCTGGTATCACGAGTGAAGACAGAGCAACCTGCTAGCCAGCCGGAAGCAGCCACTCCCTATTCAGTGGTCTGCACCCCTGTAGCCAAGCGGCTGTGGGAGGGTGGCAGTAGCCGGGATGGAGGTGGGGTAGGTTCAGGAGGAGGGGGTGGGGCCAGGAAGGCTGCCCGTTATTCCCAGGAGGCGGTGCGGGGCAGCGCCATCCAAAGCCCTGGAGCCCTCGGACTGGCCATGGGAATGGGAGCCACTGCAACCAGTCTGGCAGGCATGGTGACCAGTGGCGGGGTTAGCGGCAGTACCAGCACCAACGGAAGCTCTGCAGCAGGACTCGGCATGTCAGAGGGCGCCAGCCCAGGAACCTTGAGTACCTACACCAGTGACTCACCCATCAGCTACCACGATGATGAAGAGGAGGAGGAGGGAACAGATGAATGTGCTGAAGAGCAGTACAGGCAAATCTGCAATATGTATACCATGTACAGCATGCTCAACATGGGAGCTGCAGGTAATCAATATGAGAAATTTCCTGTAAATGCAGCTGCATGGATACGTACCTTACATTACTTGCCTGAATATGAAAGATCTTTTTTCTTCGACTTTGCTTAGATTTGGTATCAAATTTTTATGGATTTCATATCTAATGCATGTCTTATTTGAACAGACTCTGTCCTAAAGGTTAATAAGCGAAAAATAGTTTCTATTTTTATATGTGATGTGTTTTTTATTTTATTCTAACTTTGCGGTATTGCTTCTCTCGAGCTGCTGGTGAGCGTGTTGACGCTCTACCAGACCACACAGAGACACGGGGTCGGATGCGAGGTAGAGATCTTACTTGTCTCCCTGCAGAACTCATCGCTCAGATAGGCAACCGCTGTCACCCCAAACTGTACGAGGAAGGAGACCCCGCTGAGAAGCTAGAGTTAGTCTCAGGTATGTTTGCGTGTGTGTATACAATATTTAGTTGTATAGCTCAACATTGTGAGGACGAGTTTAAGGTTTAAACCTCCTCACTGTCTGAAACACCTGCAAAGTGTTTTGAGTTAGAGTTAGACATTTAGCTGGCTTAGAGGCAGAGGATGGATTCTCGGCCTTTAAAGATTTTTGGAAGCTATACTGTATTATGGAATCTGTATTATGGAATGATGCAACTGAACGATAAAGTAATCACGCAGCTATATACCAGTGTTACTTGATATATGGGTCTTAAAAGGACAAGGCCAACGGCTGTGATATGTATACAGATTTCGAGGAAGCTGTCCTCAAATGACTGGGCTTGGCATTGGCATGCAGATTACGCAGCAGTATTGCACATGTGACTCATTGTGTATATGTCAAGGACACTGTGGGAGTGTCTGTTACCGTGGTTGCATACCTCTGTATAAACTGTGCATGTGACTGAGAGATAGAGCCATAAAAAAAGCACAGTTTGTCTATTTCTTACTTTTGACACAGTTTTAGAATAGAAAGATAGAAAAATGTAAAGCAAAATAAACAAGCACTTTAAAATTGCAAAGATGCAAAATGAAATCTCAGACCTACTGCCTCGTCACTCCATAGCTACAGCTGCAATGTGTGATATGACTCAGAGCTGTCATTCTGCTGAACTAAAGTGAAGCCACAAACCCTGAACTTAAACATGTCAATAATACTTTGAGGTTTGTTTGTTGATTTTGGTTCGCATGCATTCTTTACAGGTACTTCAGTGTATATATCGCGAGCCCAGCTAATGAACTGTCATGTGAGTGCCGGGACCAGACACAAAGTGCTGCTGAGGAGGCTGCTGGCCGCCTTCTTTGACAGGTTTGTTGCTTCTTTGTCTGGGTCTATTTCTGCAAGTGTTTCATGTAAAGTTCAGCAAAACTTGGTTTTGATATAGAAATGAACTATTTTCTACTTTGGCGTAAAGAGAATAAAAGAACTATTTTTGTTTTCCTCTGTTCTGTGCATCCATTTTATTTTGATGTATCAGGAATACTCTGGCCAATAGCTGTGGAACAGGCATCCGCTCGTCCACCAACGACCCGAGCCGCAAGCCCCTGGACAACAGAGTGCTGCACGCTGTCAAATGTGAGTGCACATGTTGGTCTATATGTGGGTGTTTGCCCAAAAGCATGCAAACAATATTAACAATGGCTTGTGATGTTGTACACAAATAGAGGGGGAATGTGCATGTTTGTATTCATACTATACATACAAACATTGTGTATAACATATTGTAAAGCACAATTAAAAGATTGGGGTTTAAAGATTGACCTGTTTATTTGGGCTACTTCTTGATAAAGATGCAGATGTTAGATTATTCAGTACTTACTGCAGCTGTCTCTATAGGACTGGGTGTTGTTGTGAAGGTAATGTCTCTCAGTGACCACTAGATAGCAACATTCACCCTGAAAGTGAGTGAACAGCAGTCCGACCCTAAAGAAAACACTGTATTGTATAGTTAGTTGTATACTTAACTTGGCAAATTTGTATTCATGTCCATCTATAATATAATTTAAAAAAGGGAACATTTCAAATGTGTAATTCCTGCAGTGCTCAGTGAATTTGGGCTTGATTTGTACAGATGAACAAATTTTCCTACATAGCACCGGTGATGAGTAAGGCAGCTGGAGATCTGTCTCTCAGATGTTTGATTCAAAATTGCTATAACAGCTACCTTAGGGAGACTCTTACATTTACTCATATTAAAGCAAAGGTTTAAGATTTTGGGAAACCTGCTTTTTGGCTGCTGTTCATTAGATATTCAACCAGCAGTCGGATTAGTTTACTTTTGTACAGAGGAATACACAAAAAAAAGAAGATACTTAAGACTACTTTTGTTCCTTAATGCACCTTAAAAACGGGAACCATACAACCCATTTGTTGGATCACTTCACCCAGGTTGAGATTGTAAAACACACCTTATGTGATAGAGTTTTAATCAGACCAATAAACATCAAAAACTTTCATATGAGACACAGCTTGATAATGAATTTGGGAAGTGTTTATAAAAGATAATGAGCCAGTTTATAGTGAGCCATTACAGCAAACTATTATATGAAATAAACAGCTGTGTGATTGAACTTCTACGTACACGGACATTAAGAATTCAGGCATTAAAAATACTGCATCACGTATAAGATTTGATACAAAACGCTACTCTTTATAGACATATATCCAAAGTTAGTATTATGCTAATCGGCACTTGTGCGTGCATGTGATTTAGATACACGGACTAAAGAGTGGAAGACAAGTTCTGGCATTACATGCCACCGACAGGCAGCCACACAACTGCAGCTGAAACTATGAGATCGAACTGTTTGCGTGAATGGTAACAACATTATGGATGATAGCACAAGCGCATGACAAATAGCACAACACACAGCTTTACATTGCAGCAACGGAGCAAAACACAGACTCAACAATCTCTCATGTCATTGAGAGTAAATTATTATTATGGTTCATTATGAAACTGTGGCAGGACAAGGTGGAACCCGCCACAGTCTAGATAATTAATGGGAAACACTGCAGAGACATGCAGAATATCAATCCATATTTTGTAAAGCATCTACTTCAAGTGATGGTTGAGAGTCTGAGAATAAGAATTCATTTTTAATTTTGGAACATTTTCACAGAAGTAGTTGGTAAAAAATGGTATGGCACACACACAGCTTCTCTTGCTTTTCCTATAATCCCAAGCCCTGTTTTTGTGTATGAGGTTCCTCTATGTCACGACAAATGGTGCAAACCTGTGTGTGTTTTTCTTCCTCCATGTCAGTTTATTGCCAGAACTTTGCCACCAGCTTCAAAGAGAGTGAGATGAATGCCATTGCAGCCGACATGTGCACCAACGCCCGGCGTGTGGTCCGTAAGAGCTGGATCCCGAAGCTTAAGCTGCTGATGGCAGAGAGTGACGCCTACTCCGCTTTCCTCCCCGACAATGTCAAGACGGAGGACGACACCCTGGGAGTGGATCAAGCATTTGACCCCTCCTCCCTGGAGGCCACCGGCGGTGCTGGCATGGAGTCAGGTGAATCACTACCAGGTGTGGGGGGGGACGGAGGACCTTTGTTTTGAACACTGTGTCTGGGGAAGGTTGAAATTTGTTGACACATACCAGTACTCCCCAGTTCTGCTTGCCTCCTCACTCTTTGGCCCACACTGATATCTCACATTTGACTGTCTATGCTACACTGCTGGGGTTGTTGATACCCTGATGTAACCAGGACATGAAAACTTAAAATCTTTGCTTTATGACTGTACAATGGAGCTAGTTGAATGGGAGAGAGTTAGTTTCAACCTAACCGCCCTCTGCCTCCCCTTGTCTTTTTAAGGTGTGTAAGCGCATCCACTGTTGCATATGAAATACATTCCCTGACGTGCGGGTGATGGGGGAAGTTACCAGTGCAGCCCGGGGGGAGGAGAAAGGGGGTTTGGCTGATAGACAGATTAGGAGAAGAGGTGGCGAGTATATTGAATGTAAGTGTCAGTGGCATTTTTCTCTATTCAAGCCTGACACCTTGTATTCCAGCCTCGGGAAAGAAAAGAAAATCTGAAATAGAAATGTTGTTAAAATAAATGAACACTACACGTTCTTCCTCCTCCTCCATCTTCCACTCATCACCCTGCAAGTATCCTTCACCCCCACCTCACCTCTCTTGAGACCAGAGAATCTCACCTGAGTGTTTCACTGTGCGGTATCTTATAGAAATAAATCTCATCTTTCTGTTTTCTAATTCTCAGCAGATAAAGTCAAATTTTTGTTTGTCTATAAACTGAAAAGTGATCCAGAGAGAAGGGAAAAGCTTTACTGAGATGACTGTAAAGAAAACTGAAGGGCAACAGGTAATCAAAGACGGTCATATTTTTAGAAGACAAACTATATTTATACGAGTGCCCACGCCTAGGATGGTGTGAGCAAAGAGAGTGAGAGGGATTGTTTTAAAATCTCGATCTTCATGTTTTATTGAAAAGAGGTCTTGTCGAACAAGGAGAAGTGCTATTTTTGCAGAAAAAAGGAGCATAATAAAGTCTTATCATAGGTCCCATAGTCATTTATTTTTATCTTTATTTTACTGTGTGGAGTGATGGAATGAGCAGTTGAACTGCTAAATTTGAAGCATTTCATCTTCTCTTCACAAGCTTAAAAGGAATAAGACTGATTCAGCTGGCTCGACTGTTTGTCTGTGATAACCATTTCTTGTTAGGTTATGAACCTGCAGCGTTTACTTGTAGAAAATATAAAGGTTATATTGATCTGACAACTCAGCTAGTTTCTTCTATGTAAGAACGGTATTGAAAAGAAAAAAAACCTGCTGACATTTTGTGGAAATGCAAAAGTCACAGGAAATAATTGTGGAATATTGGAATGTGCCTTTAAATTGAAATCAATAAGAAGAATGCTGGTGGGTTTGGTGACGTCAATAGAGATATTGCTTGAAGAAAATAGGTGCGATGGTACTGTTCGTGTGTGTGTGTGTGTGTGAGAAATTGCTCTCTGCCAATTCTGGCATGTGGTTTATTAACGTATATGCACCACCTCTTTAATATGGAAATTCAAAATGGCTGACAGTTTTGTTTTAGAGTTTGAGATGATTTTGCACCTTCCATGAGAGGAAGGGGGGGGGGGGTTCCGCACCTTAATGACAAGAACCAGTGGTTCATGCACCTTTTGGAGAAATGTTGTGTAGCAATTGAATCCTTTTAGGTGGAATTTGTCATTTTTTCCATGTCTACCTGTGTTTTTTTTGTTTTTTTTTTTTTGTGGCACAAAGTCCTACTGTAAATAATCAAGACGACTGTTGAGTTGAATCCCAAGTGTTCCTCCTCTCTGTTGCTTCATGTGTCTGATTGCGAAGCGACAAAAAGCCGAGCTATTTTTTATGTGAACGTAAGTGTTGAATGCATGTTGACGAGTAGAATGAAGATCAGTACGGGGGTAACGTTATTCCTGTTGCAGGTGGATATACGTCTGAGTTAGGAATGTGCTCTCATCCTGAAATGCTCACACAGATGACTGATTACTTTCTCCCTCTGGAAAGGCATTTTTAAAAAAAGGTTCTATTTTTCTGAAGACTGGTACAGTGTAAAAACTGGGAAGGAATTTATGCTTCTTACTCAAGGCAGTTGAGTCCATCTTATTAGAATAAATAACTTAAAGCATGTCAACCTGTTTTCATTATTGTTTAAAGTTATAAGAATGAGTTTGCTTCGGTGCTTTGACGGGGAGATATATATGAAAAGAACAAAAATGCAGTACCTTATAAGTATAATAAAGTATAATGACAATAAAACCTCACATTTGCATTTGACTGTAGATGCCAAATGAGCACCCCTCCCCCACTTACCTCCTCAGTATCGTTGAAGACTGTTGCGCTTCCTGTCCCTCGTGCAGCTGGTGTCATGGTTCACTTCCACAAGTTTATTCATGTGTGTCTGAGAGAGGCAAAGCAGTGGTTTCATGTAGTTAAATCTGATTTGTAATAGATGTACGTTTGATTTGCTTAGTTTCAGGTGTTTTTTTTTGTATCAGGACCCAAATTCTACAGTTCAACACATTTTTAATTTTGACAGTACTGTTAACGTTAGGTCTGAAGATTTTCATAAAGCTGAAAACCTCAACACACTTTTTAAAAATCAATCATTTGTAATGGGAGGGACAAGTATTCAGTGTAGGGAGATTTGGGACAATTCCATATAATTCTATGACAAATGTAACTTCTGAATATCTCATGATATTTCAACATCTATCCAATTTGTTTATGTTTCTGCTAAATGATGATAATGATGAGGTAGAAAAAAAAGCCAAATTATTGTTTAAATTGCCATAATTACAGGATTGTGTGTGATTGTGTGTCCCAGAAGGGTGAATCAGTGATTGACACCCATAGAATGAGTGTCTCCGATAGAAAAAAGATGAAAATAATAAATAAGGTTTTTGAAGCAATTTAGAGCAAGAAGCAATAAGGGCTTAAATGAGCTTCTGACTGTAACCGTCAACTCTGTTCTGACTAAAGCTGAAATCTCACCAGTGAACTTATTAAATATAAGGAAGCCATATTAGTCTGCACTCACGAAACAGTGGCCCAGTCCAAATACAAAGACCTTTGATAGAGTCAGAATATCCTGCTGTTGTGCCTCACAAGCAAAGCTTCCCAACACTGCTTTAGACACTCTGTGGAGATCAGTTGGTAAATAAGTAGTAAAAACTATGGTTACGGTACATGTCAGGGGTTCTACCTACTGTAAGCCTTCAGGGCCAATTCTATTTCTTTTGACTCAGTAAGAGTCCATCACTCACAACCCACTCGCACAGCTCTTTATCTGCAGTAGGTGTGCCAGTGTGGTTGTGTTTTACTTTGTGTGCGTTCGAAGCAAAATGTAATTTCTGTACCTTTCTGCATTTGTGTTTACACTTCACAAAACATGTAGACCTACACACTTGAATGGATAAGGTGTGGCACGGCATGGGGAACTTTTTGTCACTAAACAGTACATATATAAATATGATTATATACATGTATAGATAAATATTGTATATTATATATAGACGCACACATAGAGGTCAGATTGTTTGTTGTGCACTCACAGCATGAGGTATATATTTACCTAGAAACAGCGCTTCATCACAACCTGTGCAGTAACTGGTCTGCCCATGTCTCTGCCCCTGCGCCTTGCCCTCTGTAACCCTGTAGCTCCAGTTGACCTCCTGTACTGCTCATCCTATTCTGTGTTCCAAGTGCCAATAACTTTGTGAAAGCCCTGTAACTGTGACCCAACATTATCAAAGGTAATTGCACATTAACTGACTGTAAAATAAATACAAATCATAGATAAAATGTCAAAATGAATTAAATAATGAATATCTTAATAAAAGATTTGTAACAATTTCTGCCGGATTTCTTTTCTTTTTTCTTTTTAAACCGTTAATCGTTTTGTTGGGTGTTTTGTTTTTTGATTCACTCTTCAGCCTGCACCTGGATATTATGAAAATATTAAGTGATTATGCTCATGGACAATGTAGATAGTTGGAAACATATCCACCTATTTCTTTACTGACAAAATCCAGCTATGAAAACAACTTTTGAATTTCCAATTTTTTAATTAAACAATTAAACAATTTATTGTGAGTAATGTCCATAAACCTGCAGATTCTGCTCATTTTTGAATCTTGCACACATCAGTGATTGCACACCTGGAGGCTGCCACATGTTCATTGATCTTCATGGTTCATGAACTTATCCCCACAGTTGTTTTGACCTTCATTTGCATATGGTTTTGCTTTCATATTTATCTGTATTAGTGTACAGCACAGATGCAGTGCTTTGCATACTTGAAATCATACTTACATCCTGAAAGAGAGCAAA